GGGGCAGTACAGGGGGGCTGGCCGGGGAAGATCAGGAGGGGAAGTGGGAGAGAACTGGCCGGGAAGGGGGAGTGAGCAAATCGGCTGGTGCAGAGTGGGACTGACCCAGGCACTTGCAGATCCCCGGGCACTGCCTGTCCCGCGCAGGCTCCCAGAGATGCACGAGTGAGGAGGAGGCTTCCCCTCCTCCTCACAGTCAACCGAGGGCTCCCAGCGGCAATTGTGGCCCTGCCTCCCAGCTGGTCCTCCCACCCACACCAGGCTTCCGTCCAGTGCGCAGCCGGAAAAATCAGAAAATACCGAACATTGCACATGTCTGGTATTGTTTTTTTTACCGGACAGGGCATGCAAATACCAGACTGTCTGGTACAATACCGGACACCTGGCAACCCTATCCTCACAGTGGGAGGTCGATGGGAGAAACACTCCAGTTAACGTCCCCATCTCCTCATAAGGAGTAGGAGTTCCGGCGTTGATAGGATGCTCTCAGCGTTCTTTTTAGTGGCCCTTTACTAGACTCACTATATTGAACTCCGGAACATTGACCTTCACAGTGTCAATCTTCCAGGAAGTGACTTGATATAAATTACTTCCATGGTACTACTAAGTTGTTCTATAAGATGTTACAGATGTTTATCTAATTCTTAGGAAATATGAAATAAAATATTTTCGTCTTACACATGAGAAATACACTGATGTAAGTAAAGATTCTTATTATGATGAAAGGAATAGGAATCTTGTGGCTACAAATGCTAGCAAATGATGTGTGCATGTGTGATTTATGATGTGAGAATATAAGTGAGAACAATTTGAAATTAAATAACCCATAACAAATAGGGTCTGCAAAAGCTTTTGGAAATTTGATAGCCTTATGCCAATTTTACAGCATCATTTAAATGTATAGATAGCAAAAAAATTAAATGCTAATGTAACTTTTCACATCCCTAGTTATCCGGTTAACCAGTAAGCATCACCATAAATGGGTAATGCTTTCCGGTTCTGGTAACAGGGGCTGCTCTGGCGGGGCAGGGGCTGGGAGCTGGTAGAGCCAGCCCCAGACCTGGTTAAATGCTAGGTGGACCTAAAGTTTTAACTGATTAACTAGGATTTTACATCCCTAAACATAACTTTCCCTAGTTTGCCCCAGCAATTCATTCCTCATATTCCCTCGTCATGATGCTTTGCCCAGTTTCATTTAGGTCTGAGACAGTAATGTTGATCACACCGATATTAATTAAGCACATTAAGGTCCCAGTCCTGCAAACACTTGCATATGTGTAAATCTAGAAGGCTACTTAGCTGAGTAAAGTTGTACATATTCAAATGCTTGTAGGGTCCTGCTCTAAATTTTGCTGAGGTTCTAAAGCAATATGTGACTTTAAGAAGAAGATTGACAAACTGAAATATACTAACTGTGCTAACTCTATATTAGCAGGTGGAATCTTCCGATTTGGACCTTTCAATATTATGATAAAATAGCATGTAGAACATTGTGTCACTCATTGAAAAACCAGCTGTCTGCCAAATGTATTTATCAAATAAGTTACAAGTTAGTGTTCAAATAAACACTGTGCAAAACAGCCTTCCGCTTATTTTCACTAAATTCTCACCTTTCTTTTTTTCCTCATAGCCCATCATTCCTATGTTCACACAAAATGTTCGGGAAGGAATTAGGACATTAGGAGGAATAAGTAAGATAAAATATTTATTTTTCTATTTTTAATTTTCTGTACTCACTCTCCTTAGAGTATTTATAAGTATAAATATTCTCTCTCTCTCAAATCTGTGTTTAGATTTTTTATACAGTCTTGTTTCTGTGGGGATTAGGATGAGTCGCTAGTCTTTAGTGATATAAAATAAGGTGGAATTGTGTTGTCAGATAGTAATAAGTAATATTAGCATTGACATTGTATCAGTGACCTAAAATTATTGTGCGCATAGTGACTGGTCTTGATAAAGGAACCTACTACAGTAAACTTCCGACAATCCGGCACCTTTAGGACCCAGGGGGTGCCGGATTATCAGATTTGCCGGACTATCGGAAGGGGGGGCTATGAAGGGTCTGGGGTGGGGAGGATGCCACCCCAGACCCCTCATAGCCCCCCTTCCAATAGTCCAGCTCTGCCCCAGGTGTCCCTGATTCAGACGCTGCTGGTCAGTTTCAGCGCT